ATGAATCTCAAGGTTGTAACTGATTTATTTTACATTGACCAATTTTAAATGCAAAATTTGTCTCCATTTTAAATATAAATACAGTGGAATAAAACAAATGTACTTTTATTTTCAGTACAACGATACATCATTTACCGGAAGTGTGAACTAAAGTGCAAATTCATCAATTCCATTCTACATTTGCACTGTTGCCAAAGATGACCTAAAGTAAAAATATTTTAAACAAAACTATAAATTAATTTATTTAAAATTGGCATTAAGATAGAGGAAGGGTAAAATAAGTTAATAAGAGGTGGGTAAATTTATAGAAAAAATTGAGAAGAGAGCTGATCAAAACTCCAGTGATGTATAAATAATTTCCTACCTCTTACCCATTAATAAAAGTAAGAATGGTTCAATGTTATCGTCAAAGGACCTTGATTTGATTCTTCCATTTATACCCTGTCATTAAAATATATTTCCATCTTATATCTTATATATATATATATATAAAAGGAATAGGGGTGGTCTCCCCTTATGCCACTGGTTTCAAGTTGATGGTTCAATTGTTTGGTTCGAATGAGTGGCCTATTTTGACAACAAAAATTATAAGCAAAAAATTATAAAATCATTTTGGCAACCAGTTTTCCTGTCGATGATTTGAACGGACGGCTCGTTCTGACAATAAAAATTATAGAGAAAAAATTATACGTGTTATGTCATTTGAGTGCATGACTCATATGATCCAAAAACGGAATCGTTCTGGCCACCGGTTTTTGGGTTGATAGTTCAACTGTCTAGTTCAAACGGACGACCGTTCTAACAACACAAATTAAAAAAAAAAATAAAAAAACGACGAAAACCATTGAACGGATCGATGGTTCAACTACTCGGGTCAATGCGTCATTGACCGATTCAATGGTTTTTGGCCAGGGACCGGGATTGAGGTAAAGTGGAATTGGTTACCTGGATGATTCCCAATTAAAAGAAATAAAAAAATGGCAGTTCGATTGTTCGGTTCAAACGGACGACCCGTTCTGGCAACAAAAATTACAGGAAAAAAATTGAGTGTTTGAGGTCCATTAAGCAGTACCTTACGTGTTATGTCATTTGAGCATGTGACTCATACAACCCGAAAACGGAACTGTTCTGGCCACCGGTTTTCGGGTCGATGGTTCGACTGTCCAATTCAAATGGATGGCCCATTCTAACAACAAAAATTTAAAAATAAAATAAAAACAACCAAAAACCATTGAATGGGTCAACGGGTAGATGGTTCGATCGCCCGAGTCAATGGGTCATTGGTCGATTCAACTGTTTTTGGCTAGGGACCGAGATTGGGATAAAACAGAACCGATTGCCTGGACGATTCCCAATTAAAAAATAAAAAATGGTCAAAATCATTGAATGGGTCAACGGGTCGACAGTTCGACTGCTCAGGTCAATGGGTCGTTGATTGATTCAATGGTTTTTGGCCAGGGACCGGGATTGGGGTAAAACGGAACTGGTTGCCTGGATGGTTTCTGGGCCGAAATGTTTAGTTTCATCTCAAAGTGGAACTTTGGACTCGATTTTCTGATTTTTTTCCTTGGTTTTTCTAGTTTGGTAGATTTACCACCATTTTTTTTTTGTGTTTAAGATCACTTTGGATTTATCTTTCAAGGTTTTGGAATCCCTTGCAATGTCCAGCCTTCCCATGGCTATGACTACAAAGTTATTTCGTCTAATTATTGACATCTAGAAAAAACGACCCAGAAACGGAACCATTCTGGCCATTGGTTTCTAGGTTGACGGTTCGATCGTCCGATTCGAACGGATGGCCTATTCTAACATCAAAAATTAAAAAAATAAAAAATGGCCAAAACCATTGAACGGGTCGACGGTTCGATCACCCGGGTCAATGGATCGTTGACTGATTCAACAATTTTTTGCCAATGACTGGGTTTGGGGTAAAATGGAACCGATTGCTTGGACGGTTCTCGGGCCAAACGGTCCTATTGTCTGGGTCAACTGGAAATTCTCGATGTAAAACAAAGGACAACTATGAAATAGAACTCACAACTATCACTATATGATTATATTCTTTTTATGAGATAATTTACTGAAACAATATTTAAAAAACGAACATATACTGATCTCTTTTAGTCTTTATATAAATTTCAAAATTTGAGTGCTTATAATTATAAGTTTCTTATAACCATTATCTTTTATAATATAAGAAATAGAAATGTTACAATTTCTTTACAACCCATGCGAAGCAGGTTCCCCTCCGCTGGATACCATTAAAAATATTAAGAGTTTGAGTGGGGATGATTAGTAACTGACTAAGACGAATCACAAGGGCCAGTGGAGTGGAGGAAAAAAAAGGGGAAAAGTGTGGATACACCCGATGCAGAATTCTGAATTTCAACCCCCTAGCCCTCTCCCCCTTATAAACCACATCCTGCCCGTGAATTTGACATCAATTCACGGTCAGGATGCATTTCCCTGTAACATAAGGCTATAAAATTCTATCTGAACTGATTAATCATTCTCCCAAAAAAAGGGACAAAGGGCATCTTTTGAATCTCCCTGTCTTTCAATCAATCTCCAATTCTCCATCTCCCTCACATCCTCTATGATGACGATGACGACTTGATGAGGCATTCCGGGCCCCGCACCACATATCGCGTTACGCCCACCTTTACCCCCAAAGAGCAGTAAAGGGCCCACCTATAGGCATAGTACCACAACGTAGGGTCCACTCTATTCAGTCGCAAGTCGCAACTCAACCGAGCGAGCGAGAGAGAGAGAGTGTAACGAATAGCATTAATATTAGAGATATATTAAATAAAACATAAAGAAAGCAATGGGAAAATTGGGAATCTCGTTTGAACACCCCAAATTCAAAAGGCTATGTTAAAAAGTCCTACAAAACCAACAACCTTCCAACTGTAGGGATGGTATGTTGAATCTTTTTACACATAGTATAGGACCCACCATTAAAGACATTTATGTATACGATCTACTTCGCCAGGAAAAATATAAAAACAAATATAGAAAACCCTAAATATGATCCAGCGACCAATGGCCGATTTAGCAGAACACATTCATTGCTGGTCGTCTAGAAATATGCGATGGATCAAGCGGATTTAAGGCTGTTTGTTGGAGTAGGATTAGGAAACGCGATGCCCCTGTAGCTGTAGCTGTAGCTGTATGAGAGAGAGAGAGAGAGAGATAGAGAGGGAGGGAAGGTAAGGTTGTCATGCCATGTGCTCGGCCACAACCAGCGTCTGAAATCAGTCTCCGCTTGTTGCCAAAACGTACGTGAAAACTGAAAAGAAGGAAATGGGCAAAGGAAGAAAAGTAAAAGACAATATGCTTTAGTGGGAGGTGGCGGTTCGAGTTGAGTTCTGGGGATAGTGATTAGGGTCCCGTTGCCGTTGGATTGGTGCTTGTTGCCAACTTTCTTTAATCGATCGACAAAAGTAGATTTTGATCATGATGATGATGATGATACCACAAAACACAATGCACCAAAAGCTGCGCCTCGACAGACACGTATATAAATAGGACCCAATCATACGGCGCATCTTTTCAGGCCCTTGTTTCTTCGCTTTTCCTTTCAAAATGTGTTTGGCTTTGTGTGGACTGTGGAGAGAGAGAGAGAGAGATCTGTCCATGTCTCTACTCTTTACGACTGATCACTCTTTGCTACTCTCTCTACCAGAGCCCAGACCGCCAGAGGCAGAGAGGGACTCTTGCTGCTAACAGAAGAGGGAGAGAGAAGACAGAGAGCAGCAGCAGGTGCAGCTTCTACTAAAAACTATGAAAAGAGAAAGAGGGTTGTGCCCGTGGGTGTTTGCGCATTCTTCACTGAATTTTATATAAAAAGAACTCAGCGCTCTCGTCGGCACCAAATCATGAGATGAGAAGAGGCTTGCTACTTCTTACACACAAACCCAGAAGAAAAACACTGCGATCAACATCCGATTGCCATCCATATCCATGCATGAAATGCCCAAGCATCCAAAAGCTGTACACACACCCAGAATATGTGTGTGGTTCTGATTTCTGATGGATAAGAGGTTACAAGTACAGTGTGTGTATGGGACAAGAGTGTTTCAAATTCAAGTTCAAGAGAATCAGGACAATGGATGGTGATCAACATTCAAGAAACAAGAGTCAAAGATAACTGGGCTATTTCTATTCTATTCTATCTATCTAGTGCAAACTGCCAACCAATGTGAGCTTTGATATGGACCACCTCGAGATGTGTGCCCTCGGCCCATCTGTCCTGATAGAGACGGCCCTAGTACTTTAGACGACAAAGACATCGTCGTACTTGATACCCCCCTTCTCATATTTGTTGTGTCTTTAACAGTTAAAACGCTACAGAGGATTATGAATATGATTTCCTGGGGGTTCTGCTACGGTACATGGCCTAATTTACGCTTCTAAGTAATTCACTTTTTTATGTTTTGATATGTCACTCAAGCTCTCCATGATCAGAGCTAAAAATTTGCTGCAGGTGGATTCAACTCCAGAGTCCAGACCATGAGAAAGATGCTTCCGTAGGTGTAGACAACGGAGTACTGAAGTATGGGCAGTACCCCTAGGGCTAGGCCAGGCCAGGCCAGGGCTACCTCCTATGTTTCTTCCATTATTTTTTTATTCCCTTTTTTTATATTATTATTTTGAATTAATAATGACGATATCTCGTCAGGGTTTCGGTTGATTGCTCAGCGTTTTCTCCGTTTCGATTTTGATTTTTTAACAGAAAGTCTTTAATAACGAGCTAATGATTCCCGCCATTTTCCTTGTACGGAACAGTGAAGGGAAGAAACAACCACCCATGCGTCACCATTCTCAACCTGACCGCATCCCCACGTGAAACCACACACACTCTCTCTCCCTCCCTCCCGACCTCTGTCTCCTTTCTATCGAGTCCGGAGAGTCTGTGATTCCGACATCTCTCTGACTTCGGTTCCTTTTAAATCTAGTAGGCTCATTGGACGCTTTATTTTTACCGCTCCTTCGTCTATGGTGCGTGCTCTGCAATTCTGCAACTTTTGTTTTATACAATGGAGACTTATGAAAGGTTAAATAGAGTACCATTTTACAAAATTATCAGAGCTCTTTCTCTTTCAAATTTTGATTTTTCATTTTTTTACTTCGTTTCCTGATCTGGATTCAGCTTAGTTCCACTGATCAGGACAGTACCATTGAAGGGTTGGAGCTTGATCTTCGGAGAAGAAATTGCACGGCTCCTCGGCACCAAAGAAGTTATGCTCTTCCATCTTCATTAACGGGTGCTGATACGCTTTCTGGGGACACGTTGGAATAGTCCTCAAATCCGAGAACTGAAAACAATTCATCGTAGAAGGCGATGATGAAGTGGTGTAATTGAATCTTAGGGAAGATGAAGCCGGTGAAATCAATAGTTGATGTTGCTGAAACAACCCAGGTGAAGAAATTGCCGCATTCGGGCTGTTGTCTTCGTTTAAGATCGCACTGGAGTCGCTATCGGATGACCCATCTTTGAAATCCGGAAAAATTGAAGCTCCCACTTCATTGTTTGCATTGTTGGTGTTGCTGGTGTTATAACTTTCTTGGTTTGGTTCGGTTGCCTCGGAACCTCCGACCACCGCAGCGGCAGGGATCTTACTCTGTACAGTAGCTACCATATCGGACTCTGACACCATAACCTCTTCTTTAACTGAGACGTTGCTCTCTGTATTTTCTCCTCCGAGCTTTGACTTGAGCTCTGCTAACTGTTACAACCACGCACAGACACAAACAACATAACGAGCAACAAAACACTCAATTATTCAAGAGAAATTCCACAAATTGTGTTAGGACAGATCTATTACTACGTACAACCAGTAATCCGTACGTCGATTTACCTCCACAAGTAGAGCTTCTTTCTCCCGCTGGAGAGCGTTGTAATTGTCCTTGAGAGTATCGTAATTGGACTTGAGAAGGCTGTAATCTCTCTCCAATTGCTTGGTCTTCCACCGAGCTCGCCGGTTCTGAAACCAAACGGCGACTTGTCGTGGTTGCAGGCCTAGCTCTTGCGCTAGTTTCACCTTTCGTTCTGGTTCGAGCTTGTTTTCGACCTCGAAATTCTTCTCCAAGGCCTTTACCTGATCCACGGTCAATCGCCTTTTCTTCTCGGCGACCGGACCTGATTCCTCTAAACAGTCTTCTTCGTCCAAGCCATCCAACATGGACTGGAAATCCCTCCGGTAGACATGGTTGTTGGCTCCTGAACTCCTCTCCTCTGAAGTGAAGAAGCAAGCAGAGAAATAGAAATCAAGATTGAGAGAGAGAGAGAGTATTATCCTTGTTAGATCTAACCAACCAATAGACTAAATTAGAAGGAAAATAGAGGGGCCAGAAAAGACAAAGGGATTAATAAAAGACATCAAAAGAAGTTCTAAAACAAGAAAAACAAATTCAAAATTGACACAACCAAGCAAGATATATCGAGAAACAGACCTTTGGCATAAAATACAACAAATGGGTAATGCCTTAATTCTGCAATGATGCAATTAAAATCAGAGCTTCAGTCTTACCTGTAGACGGGCAGATGGAGATCAAAGCACCCAGAGAATCTGAGCTGCTTGGCCCCTTCATGATTGAAGCAAAGAAAGTAGTATCTTGATACTAATAGATCAAACTCTTCACTCTATGACGACCTCTCTTAGTTTCCAGTTGTTTCTTACAACACTAAAAGCTGGTGTCTTTCACTTGGAACAAAACATGGAAGAGTAACTCCAGTGCCTAAAATAAGACCTAAATAGCCAAAATTGAATAGAAACTCAGTCTCTGAATATCACGTAATCCCCCCTTGCGTCCTCATCTTTCTCCTTTTTTCGCTGTTTCTTCCCCTGGACCTATGGAGTAGAAAAGAAGAACCTCTTCTACCAAACTATCCCTCGAAGCAGGACACAACAAGCAAACCTAGTAATCAACACCGCCCTTTTCTACTTCATCATTACTCAATCAATCTAATCTAGCACACCTCATTCCAAAGCGAATTTCTCTGATTGTTCAATCAACCACAGAGAGAGAGAGAGAGAAGCAGAAATGCAAGAAGAGGGAGCAGCAAACTAGTTCACATCACGGTGGCCACTCTCTCTGTTTAAATAAAACCCACTTGGGTTAGATGTGAAGTTAGAAACTTACTCGGGTTACATAGATGCAAATGAAATGAACTCAAATTCGAATCAAATGCAATCAGCTACCGGCGTTAACCGGTCGACCGTATTTGCACTTGTTCTGAAATAAATAAGGTTTTTCGCTATTATCTCACCCCATTTACAATGAAAAATTTGCCCATTTTAAATATTTAAATAAAGGGAGCCAAGCTTCAAATAAAAAAAAAAACGAAAAAACAACCGTTTTGATTCAAATCAAACTCATCGATCCGACCTCCATACTTTATCCTATTAATTTCAAATACAACAAGAATCAAGATTAAAAAAAAAAAATCTATAGATAAAAAGAAGACACGTGGCTCTGTAGGATCCATCATCCACTTCTTTTAGAACAAAGGTATATTGAATAAATTAAACATAAATATGAGTAAGCCAACGTAGGCAATTTCTTGGATGGAATCCATCGGATGGAGGCTTCTCCTCAAGTCTCCATCCTATCAAGAGTGTTGCTAGCACCACGGGCTTTATCCATTACGTGCATGTGAATTAATTTTCTTCTTCTGAGTTTAAACTTTCAAAAACAAATTAAAACCTTCTAATTTGAAAACATATTACTTCTTAAAACAAAAACATTGAAATATCTTTTTAAATGTGTTTTCTTGTTAATAAAACTGAAACCAAAGTGTGTGTTCTGTTATTTCTGGTTTGAAAATATGTTCTTTTTTATTTTAAATTATACAATATATTTCATCATCTTTCATGAATCATATAGTATTTGTATTCAAACGTTTTCTTTTATTTTAAAAAACATGGATCGTTTCTTCAAACAAAACCAATTTGTTTCGAATTCTCAAATTTAAAAACATTTATTTATTTTCTTTGGTCGTCACAATTTTAAAAACAAGTAAAAACAAAAACATTCACATTGTGGAGCACACCCATATGGGATTGAGGGGTGTTTTCTTTTATTGACTTTAATGACAGCCTGTTCAATCTGAGAAATGGTGTACGAATTGAGGAGAGCAACCTAATAGTCCTTGCCATTAAGGTGGTGGTGAATTACAAGCACGAGGCCGCACTACAAGACCTATGATCAAGAAAGGAGAAGTCAGAGGCTCGAGGAGTTATCCCCGAGTTGGCACTCCAACGCTCAAGTCAGTAGGAGGTGGTAGATGGTCGGGCTGAACTATAAGAGTGTTGGTCCGTGCTAAGTAACAATATGGGTGTTAGAAGTTGGGAGTCTCTTACCTTGAGTATGGAATACATTCTTATAGCCACGGACCCATGTCCTAGTCGGATTGGGCTCCCGGGGTTGTCGGATGAGGTAAGCCGCTAAGGTATTCGGGATAGAGTCCTAATCCCCAGCGCAATTGTCTTCCTTATTCCTCTTTATTCGTAATTACGCTTATTCGCGCCACGGGTAGCTGACGTGGCTGAGGGGATAAGATGAAGGGCCATAGTAATAGCGTAGCCCAACCTAGGCCACGGAATGAATACATGTTGTGGAGCTGCTTGAGCTATGCCAATGTGGTTGGGCTGACTGGGCGATGATTAGAAACTCACGTGTTTCTCTGGACCAGCTCAGCCATGACCCAAACAATAGTGATGCTAGAATCCCCAATCCTGTCAATATAAGATATAGGGCCTAACTTGGGATCTTTCTCTCAAACTTTTCCTTTATGGGGGTTTAGATATATAATCTATTAAAGATGCTCATTTTTTATGTTTGATTTATATTTGGCATCCATGAAAATTAGAAGTTTATAATAGAAAAAAAATATATTGTTAAAAAAGCAGTTCCCGATGTGGGTTCACTTACAACAAAGAAGAAGCTCCCTTCCAGCTAGCTACTCGATTACCACCTGAATATTAGGTCTAATTCTCTAAGATTTGATTTGGGTTTTCATTCTTTTTCTTTCCTTCACATTAAGACACCTATCACCTTGGTTAAAAAGAAAGAAATAACAAAACTGATCATTTTGAAAATGATGATATCCAACATACAATAAGACTGTGTTTAGTTTGATAGAAAATAACAGAAAACAAAATGTTGGGGCAAAGTTCTTAATAAATTTTCTATTTTCTATGAAACTTAAGATAACACAAGAAGAAAGATATACAGAAGAACTAAACCATTGCTTATATAGGTCATCAAAATTTAATTTTTAAAATCCATTTCTTTTTCATCAAAAAATAAAAATTAATACAAAATAATAGTTAAAAAAATATGATTACTATTTTATGACCTAAAAAATACAACCTTCTTATTCATAGAAAACTGAATAGATGAAGAGAGAAGTTCACATACATCTTTCCTTTAAAATCCCACCAAAGTTGGTATTTAAGAAAAATAAAATAAAATCAATTGGCAATGATACGAGAATAAAATCACACTTGGGCCTAAAAGACATAACCCCCAAAAAAATCAATTGGCAATGTCGATTGGAAATGTCATAAGGTTTATTGTTCATTTTCATTTAACAAATCCCGTGCATTGTACGGGTCCCGACTAATATAAAACAAACTAGGGTCTATAGCAGTATATTCCTAATTAAACACAAAATTACACGGACTGGAAATGGAGGAAGAAGAAACAAGGCCTTTAGAACATTTTAGGGTGGAAAATATATCATGCATCAAGCTCCTAACACCCAAAATCTATTTGTAGGGCTGTTCACCAAATCGATGAAATCAATCAAATTGATTAAGCCGACCCTATTCAACCTGAATTGGTTGGTTTTCTAGTATTTTTTAATATGAAAAAGTGAAAATTTTTCATATTTCCTAGTTTAAAATATTTTGTATTATAAATTTAAATCTTTTGAATTAATTGCCCTATCCCCGCGGAGAACGGGATCCCCGACTTTGCCCTGGTCATTCTTACTTGTATATTTAAATATTTATTTATTTTTTTTTTTTGAAACTTACATCAAACTATTTTATATTATGTAATATAATATATAATAATATATTATGATATAATATACATTAGCATATATTAACAATTATATATATATATATATTATGTTATATAATATAGTTAGGTCGGGGTCGGGGCGGGGTGGACAAATACTGCCCCGACCCCCAGAGTTTTGGGTTGTCCCCAAACCCGCCCTAATCAAGGCGGGGCAAGGTGGAGCCCATGGGAACGGGTCAAATTGCCATGTCTAGTTGCAAGTGGAAAATTACATCACGGGCTTAGACAAATGCTAGTGATACGATACGGTTTGTGGTCTTGTACATACCTTCTTCATTCATCACCAATCCTGAGACCCACATATGGTTCTTAGTCCACAGTGTGGTGCGTATCTGATAGGGCTGCAAGTTGGGCTGGGTTGAGGCCAACCCTAAGTTCTAGACCCCAACCCAAACCCTAACCCTAACTAAATTCCTTCAAACCTAACAACCTTCTTCCCATCTTTTAAAATCTCATAAAATTTCTCGATTTTAGATCTTAACTCAACTTTCAATACATATATTGATCCTATGTTTCATTAGTATTTGTTTGTTGACGTTATTTTTTTTTAGTACAAAATTCAGAAAAGCAAATGTTAGAAATGACTATAGTTTGTTATGAGTTATGACTTATGATAGATCTTTCTTGGGCGGCAAACAACATAGAGGAGATGAAAAATAAAATTTTCAAAAAACACAAAATAATGTTTTAGTCTTTCTAATTACGATTAAGTGAAGTGATTATCTTAAAAGAAATACATGATACTATGTGGTGGGGGCTATACAAATATGATGCATCTAAACAAATCAATATATGTTATATGTTATATATTATATATAACATATATTTATATATGACATGTACTATAGAGTCGGGTTCGGGTTGGGTCGGATTGGCTAAGGGGTCAACCCTAACCTATCCCGAAGTAAAATCGGATTCATAAATTTTAACCCTTACCCTAACTGAAACATCAATCCCGATCCAACCCAACCCAATGGGTTAGGATTGGGTTCGGGCCAACCCGGCCCAAGTTGCAGCCTTAGTATCTGACAATGGACTCATCCGTCTATTTCAAATTGTTATTCTTACATACGTTTCTAGGCGGGGCAGTGTAGAGTGTTTATTTATCGGGAAGTTGAATCAGGAATTGAGGGTGCAACTCAGTCTGGGTTTGGGTGTTGTTGAGCCCATACCCAACCCAACGCGGAGTACTTCAAAACGCAATAACGAGCCAATCAAACCTTAAGGTTATGTAATCCTAAGCAGCCTGAGTAATTCGACTTTTACAATCCGCCCGGTTAGGTTGAGAATGAGATGGGCTAGCCCAATATATAAAAGAGAAAAATCTCGATATTACCTTTGTGAAATGGTTATTTAATTATGCCTTATTATCTGAGGCCTCATCAGATCCCTAAGCTAATCCATCCAAAATCGGATTGGATCAGTCTGGTGGGTTTGGGTTTGACCCGCACCAAGTTGCACCCTTAATCAGGGGAAAACCCATAGCTACTAGTGAACCAGTCAAAAGGGTAAATGGTATCCCTATGAAGTAGTAAACATTTCCAACGCCATGCATCATGTAAGACTAAATGATTCATTGTCTCCTAAATTGGCTCCCGGAAGGAATTTGCTAGGGACCTCCTCATAGGCCAGGGGTCATGGGTCATGGTATCAAAGAATCTAAATTACTCAAATGTCAAGATGTACAATAGATATCAGCTCCAAAGTCTAAACCAACTTGTAGAAACGAAGAAAGTATGGAACAACGTCGTTAAAAAGTTAGAAAGAGATGTGGAAATGGGAGACAACCTAAAAGGGGTGCAACATAAAAAAGAAAAAAGGAAGAGAGAAAGAGAGGCATCCGTGGCGTAATTGGGTTGCATCAAATTGGTCCATACACCTGTGCAGCATATACGGACATTCTAATCCATCTAGAGTTGTTTGTGGGCAGCTGGGAGAATAGAAGAAAAAGACGGTACGTCCATCACTCACTCATGTATGGGGCGTTTG